CATAGAAGAAAACAAAAACGGTCGCCTAGCGAAATCTATGGGCTACTTAACATTCCCGTTTTATGCTGACAAAGAGTGACACATTGTATTAAGGGATGTACCACTTTGTTTCTAGAGGAATTATAGATTTAATTATGAAACATTGCTACAAGATATCAATTGAAGCATGGCGACGACAAGAAACTTTAAGGTTATGCCTGACAATCCTCTAGCAATGCAAAATGTATATTTCTTAGTATCGTCGCCATATAGAATAAAGAATTTTAAGGGAAGCACTACCATAAAGTCTTCAAAGAATTTCCGTCATTTATCTATTTTTCTCGTAATACGCCACACAGAAGTTGTAACTTCTCAACGATGGGTCTGCTCTAAGCAACAACAACCCAGTCAGCGTCTCTTTAAGTCGTTTTCCTCTGTCCTTTAACCTATCGTACTCTCAGCTCTTCCTCCCACGAGTGTTCTGGTATTCGGGGCTTATTCCTGTCATAAAGAACCAACACTGTTACAGGTCTTTATGCAGAATCAATCAATCAATCTCTTGAGTTTCGCGGTGTATGAAGTCAATCACATGCCATCACCATTACCACAAAGTAATTTACGGCATGACATATTTTGAATGGTTTTAAGCGTTACAGAAGATGTCACTATATCGTTACTATTAGTAACAAGCGCAGTTAACGTAGCCCTTGGGCCTAGACGCCACGAAGAAGGGGGGGGGGGAAATAACTCCACACAATCGTGACCGCGTCACTAGTGCAGGTCTTTCCTCCGACAAGAAGCACTCGCCGGTTTAACCACCAAGAAGGCCGGAGGGGCCTCAGAACCGGTCTGCAGGACTCGGCAAAAAGAAGAAAAGCCCTCCCCTGCTGGGAGTCAAACGCGGATCTTTCAGTTCGTAAATAAATACTGCACTGTAAATCTGATTTTATTACAACTCTCGGGAAAATATAACTCTATACTGCGGACATTTACATAGTTAGGAGATGAAGAATATTTCCTCGGTGACGTTGAGGCCCGTGAATCTTACATGACGCTTCAGTCAAATGTTCGTTCGGCCAAAACTGAAATATTTGTGGTTCTCGAGATTATGATTGTGAAATGAGAGGATCCAAACGCTTCATAATTCTTACGAGCATTTTGTTCCAATGGTACTGTGCATCTGAAGCCTACTATGAATTTAGAAGTCATGATTTGATCAATAACATTCAGAATTATTGGGGGTTTGGACTCTGTCCATTGGCCGGAATTCTAGAAACTAGAAAAAACGACGTTTCGGAAACTGGATCTGTTTCCGTCAGGTAATTGAGGTTAACTCTAAGGGACCCACTTGAGTAGGTGTTTCCCTCTCACCTGTAGAAGAAAACAGATCCGGTTTCGGAAACGTTGTGTTTCCTAGTTTCTAGAATACCGGACGATGGACAAAGTCTAACCACCCAGTAATCGTGGGTGTTATACTACACCATCGTCAGAACCCTTCAGAATCTAATCAATAATACAACAGGCTTAAAAGTGTGAGTTTCAGTAATAAAATGTGTTTCAAAATTTACGATTTAAAATGAGCCGACGAGTTCAGAAGTCATGTCGATAAACAATATGACTGGATTTAAATGATGCGATTTTGGTAACACTGTGGATTTAAGTGGAATTGTTTTAGTGAAAATGTGAATTAAAATGTCACGATTTCGGTAATAATGCTGCTTAAAATGTCAAGATTTCAGTAACAGTGTGAATTTAAAAGTCACGGTTTCAGTAATGCTGTGAATTTGAAAGTCACGGTTTCAGTAACACCACTAATATGCAAGTCACGTACACAGTAATTACTATGGATAGAGAAAATTACGGTTTCAGTACGACATAAGGCTTACGAAACTGCTTTAAGTTGTGTATTTTCTTCCATTACAGCCGGCGTGTAAAGCGGTAATATCTCAACACGTATTTCTCACGTGTGATACGACATGCATGGGCTCACACGTGGTATCTGTCCCGCATATGAAAGGGAGTACGCCTTTGTCTGAGAGCCACACCTACTGCTTGTCAACATTTGTATCAACAACTGCTGCGTGTAATAAGCAACCACCACCCTCCCACGTGGTATCAACAGCGCAGGAAATGAGAACCGTGGAAACGTGTTGGTGGGGGGAGGGCATTGGTTATTCAAATCGGTTCTGTTTGACGTATACTAACACTGACGCAGCAGAAATATATCTGGAGATAACAGAGAGCTTTGTTAATGTCCAAAACTAATTTCAACTATATTCTGAAAACGGCGTGTTTGGTCTGATTACATGAAATTCTTACTCAGGTTTCAATTCGTGAAGTAAAAGTGAATTACAGAGTCGATATGTCATACGCACAGCCGATAAAACATTCGAGTGGCATTCTGTGTTTGGTAAGGGTATGGCAGTATGTGATATATTGCTGTGGCTGGGGAAACGGTATATTAACAAAAACCACTGCTCGATACTGTAATTTAATTTATAAACTTTTCTATCATTTTTTTTTTGCAAAATATGTATACATCCATCCATCTACGGTCACACTATCAACTGCCCTTATGATCACCATTTTCCCTTACATATTCCAAATCGTAATTCGGTTTCTCATTTAAAGTGTTTCCTCTAATTTTTCAATTGTTGAAAATATTATATTTGAGATTTCCGCGACGATGAAAGTGTGTATCGCGGTCTTCTACGTTACTTCACCGTGCAGAAGTTATACCCTGAAGATGGAGGTAGCAGTCTCCTTCGAAACGTCGATAACAGCCTATCAGAACACTGCGTACCTACCATAAGCCAGAGGGCGACTTGTCAGCATCACACGTCTACAGGTTCGGATATCAATCACGTGTCCACTGAAATACGAGTTGGATCAGTAGCAGCACGCGCATCCCAACAAGTCCTAATGTATTCGTGCATGGCAGAGAGTTTTGCTTCTGATAATCACGGAGTATGATTTATGGACATAGGCTGTATATCACGTGTCTTACAGAAAGTATTTCAAATTTACGTACGGACAATAATTGTACAGGAGCCGGTATAGCGATTGGCTACGCGCAAGACGACCGGGTGGCGGAGTTCGAGTCCCGGTAGAGTCAATTTTCTCCTCTCCACGCCGTCCAGACCGGCTCTGGGACCCACCCAACCTCCTATCCAAAGGGTACGGGGGGGCTCTTTCCCCGGGGGTAACGCTGCAGGGGCGTGAAGCTCATCAATCACCTCCAGCTTGTGTCAAGAAGATGTGGATCTATACATGCACTCCCCCATACGTCTTCATGGCGTAGTGCGTAATTAGTTAAGCTCAGGAACAACTTTACCTTTACAGTATTTGTACATGCAGTATATGAAATATATTGAGTTACTTGTGCGAAAAGTAAAATAGTGGTAAGATAATATCATTTAATATTTCACGTGGTATCAAGCAA